AAGACAAACTCGTGATTGATCGGTAAAAATTCGACTGGGCGAGTATAAATCGAGAAGGTCGCCCCATTCCCATTAAGCTCATGCAATTGGTTTTTGAACGACTCCCCGAATTCAAAATAGAATCTCTAGCTTCGTCATTTCCTCATATGATTGATTTCCTCATTTTAAGTCGGTATATTCGCGACTAAAGGTGATGCCTCTCATTTACATTCAGTCGGAAGAATCGACATTTGGGCGACTCACATGTTGTTTCTTTATAAATCGGCATTTGGGCGATTTGTTTGTCCCAATTCCATGTTTTGACTTGGGAAGTTTCTGTTTATTACTTGAATCGGATTTTAGGCAATCTTCTGATCAAAATTCATTTTAATTTGGAAAATGTTTCACTTATTATTTGACCCGACACGTGGGCGATTACTTTCGTTTAACAAGTTTAGGGTTTATGGTTTAGGCGATTGCTCTGTATCCCCAAACTACCAGTTTAAAAATCCAAGTTTTTAGAACTATTTTCTCAACTATGAGATCGGAATTTTGACGATTGCTTTGGGTTTTAAAACCGAAAGGTCTAACTTATACTTTTTCATGTGGATTATATATGGTCGGCATTTGGACGACTGCAAGGTCTTCAGAAACTTCACAAGTTTTTTACTTAAAATATTTTTCCATCGTAGGGATCAGAAATTGACCAACCACTTTCGGTTTAACAACACCATCTTTTTAAAAGATTATATTTTGCCTCTTTGGATAGGGCAATCGGAATTGGGCCGACCACTTTCGATTTAACAATACCATCTTTTTAACTTAGATTATATTTTGCCCTTTTGGATAGGCAATCGGAATTTGGCCGACCACTTTCGATTTAACAATACCATCTTTTTAACTTAGATTATATTTTGCCCCTTTGGATAGGCAATCGGAATTTGACCGATTACTTTCAGTTTAACAACCTCATCTTTTTAACTTAGATTATATTTTGTCTCTTTGATGGAGAAATCAGAATTTGACCGATTACTTTCAGGTTAACAACATCTTCTTTTTAACAGATTATATTTTGCCTCTTTGGATAGGGCAATCGGAATTTGGCCGACCACTTTCGGTTTAACAATACCATCTTTTTAACTTAGATTATATTTTGTCTCTTTGATGGAGCAATCAGAATTTGATCGATTACATTCAGTTTAACAACATCTTCTTTTTAACTTAGATTATATTTTGTCTCTTTGATGGAGCAATCAGAATTTGACCAAATACTTTCAGTTTAACAACATCTTCTTTTAACTTAGATTATATTTTGTCTCTTTGATAGAGCAATCGGAAATTGACCGATCACTTTCGGTTTGAAAACACCATCTTTTTTAACTTAGATTATAATTTTTTCCTCATATGGGGAGGATCGGCATTTTGGCGATTCACTAAGGTTTTAAAACCATTTTTAAACAGGATTATTTTCTTATAGTTTCAATCGGCATTTTGGCGATTTCTCGTCATTTTAAAACCTCTTAAAGTTATTTTCAATTATTAAGATCGGTGTCTCGACGACTTAAACTTGTTTCAAGACTCAAACTTCTAAGACTTAGAATTATTTTATAATAGTAATAATCATGTTGAAAACTGAGATGTTACATGTATCACACCTAGTGTCATGAAACTACACTTGGCATGAAAATGATTTTTACACTTAGTAGAATCACAATTTTGGTTCAAACATAAAATAAAATAAAAAATAAAAAAATAAAAAATAATAAAAAAACTAACTTAAAACCAACATGTAGCTCTCAGCATACATAAAACACAAGCAACTTGAGTTCATCAAAAATATCAACATGCATCCACAAAAGATCACATATTTAAATTAAAAATTTACTACAATTCCTTTTTATAACAGTAGAAAGACTATACAAGAAAGATAATGATAATCAAATCTAAATTTTCGTGTATATATCTCAATTTTTCAAGTTACTAGATAGTGATTAAAAATTTACTATAAATTAAAACTTTGAATTCTTAATTAGTAAAGAAAGGAAAGATAACGTGAACTAGATTTATTTTTTGAGAGATAAATTAGATATAATTATAACCATCTTTTCAATTTTATATCAATTCATGAAAAGAAAGAAATAATAGTGTTGATTGACCCAGCCACATATTTATGTGATATATAAGACAAAACTTAAATCCAATTTATTAAATACTTTAGTTTTGCTTTATAATTAAAATTAAAATTTTATTTTGATAATTAAAGTTACATAATTTTGCATTCAAAAATTTAATATAAACCATTAAAGTGAAACTCTAATTTTAGCTAAGAAATCAATACTACAATGCTAAAAATACATTAAAAATTTATTTTAAATTTTACTTTTTTATATTAAATATATCTTCTGTTAAAAATAATCCTATTCAAATTAAGTAAGATCATTGTAAGTAATAAAGTTATAATATTTCTATTCGAGTGAGATAAAGTTATTAAGTGTTAAAATTCTTTCTCAAAATATTATATATAGATGTATATTCATAATTTAAATTTAAAATTACTAATTAAATTTGAACAATATGTTACATGGTATCTACGTTTATCTATCTATGTATATAAGTTTTATTTAAATATATATGATAAGAAAGATAAGGAGAATGAGGTTAATACTTAATAAATAGATAAAGGATGGCACATCGTTATCAATCCAGTTGGCGAAAGTGGGAAACATGAAAGAGGGGCCAACTTAGGGTGTAGGGTAGGGATAGGGGCTATTTTTCCAATAAGACCAATCTATGAGGCAAATGAAATTAGGGTTAGGCTATGATCATGACCTATATAGACACTCTCTCTAGGTCTATGACCCCATTATAGGCATCCTTAGATGCTGGGTTGGCCCCCCCTTGCCTACCATTTTCACATTTCTCAATTTTGAGAATGCTTACACAACCTGCTAACCATGTCCCCAAATTTAATAACATGCAATTAAAACTCTTCCTCACTCCCACACTCTAGTTGCTTCTTGTAAGTTAATGTTTTCATCCATTTTGTTTTTCTCAATATAAATAAATAACTTCAACTATCTCTTAAATTTGATTTGATTTGAGTATATGTATAATAAAGAGTTTAATAAGTGTGTGTTGTTGGTGTAGAATTTTTTATATTATCAAACTAGTCATAAATTATCTTTAATATGATTTTAAAGTGATTATTATTGTCTTATTCGGTTTGGATAAATTTATTTATAATAAAAATATTTCATTTATATAAAAAATTATTTTAAAAATAATAAATTAACAATTCATGATTGTTAAATTCTTCTAATCATCAGAGATTCAAATAGTTTATGCAGAGTTTTGACTTGATTTTTATGAATAAGAAAAAAAGAAATAAAAAATATCTAAAATACGATAAATATAGAAATCCAACTAAGAAAACACAGAGTGAGAGGAAAAATATGACAATAATAAAGGGGGATGGGAGAGGAATTGAGGAAAGAAAAATGAATACTGTAATGGGGGCCTATTTAATTATAAAAAAAGAGATTTTTAAAGGTTAAATATATATAGATCTAGCAGTAAATATTCACGAGAAGTCTGTGTTCATTTTAATCTTTTAATAAAAAACATTAAAAGAAATTCTTGTTGGAAACTATGAGTATATTATTATTTTTTTAAAAAAAATTAAATATTTTTTTTTAAAAAATTAAATATTTTTTTTATAAAAATTTATAATTTAGTATACTTTAACTTTTAGTCTTATAATTTAAAATAATTTTTTTAATCTTTATATTTATCTTTTTTTAAAATAATTTTTATAATTTAAGTGATTTTTTTTAATTTTTATATTTGTGGATTTTTAATTCTTTTAATAATTATTATTAATTTTTTTGTAACATTGTCTCTTTTACATTGACATAACAAAAATATTAATTTAATTTTATGTGTCTGATGTCAAATTTATTTTATTAAAGTTATTTTAAATTTGGTCTTTAATATTTCGTGTCTCTTTTTATCTTCACCCAAGAGGTCGAGTGTTGAGACACCTTTTATTTATCCTTACAAAATTCAATTACAATGTTAACACAAAAGAGACAATGTTATAAAAAATTAACAATAAAGACTAAAAAAATTAAAAAGGTATATCTTAAACTATAAAAAAATAAAAATAAATATAGAGACTAAATATGTTTATTTTAAATTATAGAAATTAAAATGTAAAATAAATAAAATTATAAAACTAAAAAAATATTTTAATTTACAGTCAATTTTATATTTAAAGTTAAGATTTAATATGTATTTAGATAATTGTTAAAAAGTTAAGTTAAATTTACCTTTTCAAATTAAATTTTTATTTTTGAAAGAAAACAACCTTAATTTTAACTTTTTATTTAACCGAAACTTACTTATAATTCATACCCAATAGAATGAGAGAAAAAAAATGCCAAACATCTAGATACAATGTTCGAGATCAGCTAACTAAAGTCAAGAATATCAAAGTTAAACTAAACATACTTTAAGTTAGAATCACTTATGTGAATCATTATTATTATTTAAGTAATTTATTTGATACACACTTTGAAATTTAATACAACCATAATTATGAAGCAAAGATAAAATTTAAAAAAAAAATCAAAATTTAGGAATAAAGAGGAGAGAATTTCATGATACCCATATAGTTGACCTTATTTACAGTATGAAAAACAATAATTTTCTTAATAACAATCTATTATTATTTTTTAAAATAATTATTCCTTTACCTTTGCAGTTGGTTGCTGAGTTTGGAACATAAGAGAAGGCAATGATGACCAATGAATTCAGAAAATAACGTGCAAGAAACTGTGCATTTTAACTACACTTGCAGGCACCACACAAATCCCAAATTGCATTATGCAGCACAACTCCAACAACAATTATTAATTAATTACCTTACCCCTCTTCCCAATCCAAATATCTGTTAAGTGGAGATTCACTGTCAGAAAAAATAAATAAATGAAACTGTAGCAGTGTTGTCCTTTTGCACCTTTCTTTTTTCTTTTTTCAAAATCTCACTTTTTTCAATGCCAAATCAATATACAAACATCCCAAATCATCCTCATCATCACACACCAGAGCCGGAGTTTCCATCAAAGGAATCTCAATCTCAACATTCTCCCTATAAAATCTCCACAACATCATCAACACATTCAACTTCTTACACACACATTCTAATACTAAACAATAAAAAAAAAACACCCTCTAAACTCAACTCAATTAACCTTGTTCCAATGAACATGTTAGGCCTCAGAGACCTAGTTCTGATAGCTCCAAACCCTTCTCCACTTCACCACCATCAACACCAACACCAACACCAACCCATTTCAGCAGAACACCATTCCAACCTCCCTTTGCCTTCTCCAGCCTCTCTCAGCGTTGGTCTCGGCATTTTCCCTCTCCTCACCTTGCCACACACCAACGATGTTCATGTTCAAGTTCAAGACTGTGCCAACACCACGAACACCAACACCACCAACTACTGGAACCTCAAGATGTGTGGTGGTGGCTCAGAAGTGAATTCCGCAAGAAAAGGTGGTGTGATCGTGAACATGGAAGACGAGGGGAGCAACAATAGGCACGTGATGGAGAGTGATGAAAGTGGTGGCACCGAGTTTAGGGTGTGTCAGGATTGTGGCAATAGGGCCAAGAGAGATTGCACCTTCAGAAGGTGCAGGACTTGTTGCAAAGGACGTGGCTTTGATTGCATCACTCACGTGAAGAGCACGTGGGTACCTGCATCCCTAAGACGAGGCAGTGGTAGTGGTAATAATAGTGGTGGTGAAGACAATAATAGTGGTAGTGGTGATGGCAGTGCTTGCAAGAGAATGAGAATTTTAGGTTCTTCAAAGAATGTTGCTGCTACATCTCATAGCTCCACTTCTAATGCTACCCCAACAAAGAGCTTTAGCTTGGATACTAGCTCTTGTCAACAAGGTCATCATTTCATTCATTTTCTCTTTTTTCAATTAAATTTGATAGTAGAAAATTGTTTGAAAATCACATATAAGCTATCTCATCGTTACCTTTAATTTGTCTGGTAGTGATGTTTGATAGATTTTTACAAATAGTTTAATTTAAGTGCTTGTATAAGAAAGATTTTAAGATTTTAAATTGAAGTTAGGATCACAATTTTACTGATATCGTGAGAGATTACATGTATCAATGAAAGTGTAGTTATGATTGCAAAAACTCTGAAAATCTTGAAATTGCCGCTAAATTTAGATGGTTTGAAGATTATTCATAAATTTGGTTATGAAGTTTAATGAAAACAAGTTAGGAAAGTATTTTGATTAATTTTTCTTGTGCTTATTACAACAAGTTAATAAAAGGTTATAGATTTTTTCTTTCTTTAGAACAACTCTAATATGTGTGCTGGAATTTTGGAGTTTGGATATGTTTAATGTGTATAAGTGGGAGCAATAATTAATTGCTTTTACATCAATTTTGACTTGATTCTTACTTAACCGTGGATCTCGGATATAGAATCAAACTATGCATGCAAATGAAACATGTAGCAAGTGATTTTGTTGAAATGCATGCAGATGCTGGTTTCAAGCAGTGTTTGCCACGGCATGTTCAAGCACCTGCTGTGTTTAGGTGCCACAGAGTGTCTGCAATTGGGAGTGGTGAAGATGAGTTTGCCTACTTGGCCACGGTTCATATCAGTGGCCATGTGTTCAAGGGGTTTCTCTATGATCATGGTCCTGATGCCAGAAATGATGTGCTTAGTGTTTCAGAACTGCAACTAGGAAACAATGGAAGTGGAAAGAACAATAATAATAATAATGGGGAATGTTCTTCTGCAATTGGAGTTCCAACTAGTGCTTACCCTGCTTCTGTTTGCTGAGATCAATTCAAGGTACAAAATTGAACTAGCTTTGTTTTAAGTAACATTCATCACCCCTTTATTGTGCTAATTGCTTCATGTATGAACAACTTAAGCAAATCAAATGAAATGTGCTTTAGCATCTCCATTTTTTTTTTTGTTAAAGTTGGTCCTTGTTTTAAAAATTGGTGAATTTTGTTACTCACCTTAATTTCCTAGGTTTCACAATAAGAATGAAATTCATGATTATATGAAATGTGGAGAATAAAACCATTACTTTTAAAATATTAAGACTAAGATCATTCTTAATCATTACTAAATATTTCGTGTTGATTCTTGGGTTGTGTGAGGATTAGTTAAAAAATTTACCTTGCTTATCATTACTAAGCAAAAGCTTTGAAAATTCTTGTATGTCACCATTTCAGTAACATAGTGACAAATTTTTCTATTGGCCGGAGTATAATCATGATATCATGATAACAAAAACAAAAGAGAAACAAATAGAATTGTCAACGGAAAAATTATAATCATTTACTATTTTTTTTAATATATATAAGAATTATAATAATGACTTTAAGATTTGAATTTAAAATATTGTATGTATTATTTTAATTTTTTTAAATTTATTTTTTAAATTTATTTTTTTTCTTATCTTTCATTAATTCACATGTTTTAGAAGGAAAAAAAAAACCAAAAAATAATGAAATAAATTTTTTCCCTCTTTCATCGTTAATAGAGAAGATGGATAGACACAAACTTTACTCAACGAAGTGAGAAATAATTAAGTAAAAAAATAATTAATTAATGTTAAAAATATTATAAATGATTTTCAAAAAAGTTATTAAGTTATTAACAAATTTAATATTATTAACTAAATCAAATAATTTTAAAAAAAAATATATAATTTTGTTGAAAGAATATTATATAAAAAGACATGGTCATAGCTGATACTAGGTACCATAAAAGAATTGAGCTAAATGGTAATATCCATTAACAATATATCATAAATGATAAATTTGTTAATTTTTATAATAATTATATCTTAAAAATTATATAAATCCTTATTTTAAATTAATCACAAATTGTAGTTTTTTTAATTAATTGACTGCATGAAAATTTTCATAAACATTATATCACCATTAGATCTTATTTATTTTCTCTTCAATCCATCTTACTTTCACCTTTTTTTTATTTTTTTATTTCTCTCTGTTTTATTTTATTGTATTTTTCTTTCTATCTCTTTTCTATTCATCCTATTTTTTGTCCTAAAGTATCAACCCTAATCACTGCCCTTAGCAATTTGCCCCTTGAAACTGTACACTACAGTGGGTGGTGACCCTATATGAGAACATAAAAAAAGGAAGGGACAAAATAAAAACAATAGACTTTGCATCTAAATTATCACAAGTGTTCACTTTTATTTTTATTTTTATTTATTATTTTTGTAATGGAAGGTAGCATTAGCATGTACCGTGTACGGGAGGGTTCAAGAGTAGAGTAGTAGTGGTGACTTTTAAAATGTCACTTTCAATCAAACCACAACTAGATAACCATTGCACGTACACCTTTTAATGTGCATTGAGACTCTTTTACTTTTACATTATCATCTATGTTTGTTCATGCATATAGTATTTATTTTTATTTTTTAATATAAATAAAATCTCATATCAATAAAATAAAAATAATAAATAAAAATTTATAAAATATACATAATTTAAATGATTGAGAAACTTTTGAAAGATAATAAATAACGTTTAAGTTCAAAATGAATAATATCTTTTCATTATAAAACTATGTATAAAATAATTTTATAAAAATAATAAATTATAATTCTCTCTTCTTCATAAAAATATTCTTTTAGATAAATATCAATAAAATAGTCACAACACATTTATATCTTTTAATCAAATTATTCATTATATTAAACTTTGATATTTTTTATATAATAAATGTATTATTATGAAAATATTAACTTTTAATTTCGTATTAAATGTCCATGAACACAATAAAAAAAAACCTTTTTTAATATGTTTAAAATGAATAGATTATAATCATTTTACAACATCTATTATCTTCTTATTAGATAAACAAAGTATAAGTTTCTTTTAGCTTTTAAGATTAAAAAAAATGTATTTTTCTTATTAATCCTTTTTTATAAAATATTTAAAGAATTAGTATGAGGGTATTATAAAAAAAAATATATAACATCACTCTTCTACTTGTGTATTATTCTTTGCCCCACTATTTTCCAAGGAACAAGGGTATTGAAGGAGGACTTTGTACTCTCATTCTGGGTTGCTTAATTTTGCAACCGATCATGTCTTGACATCATTCTTGTCCATGTTTTCCATTGTTGTGAGAGTCAAATACCTTGAAAAGAAAATTAAAGATTAAAAGCCCTATAAAGTGAAAAACTAAGGATGTGAAAGAAAGTTGGGGATGCAAAAGGCACATCAATGACTTGTTGACAATTATTTTATAATTTGTTTGAATTGCTATTTCATTTCCTTGGTTGCTTTTTTCTTAATCAATTTGCTTTATTCCTCTTAATTAGAGACGAACTTTGTATATGGGTGTGATTTGGGAAATAATGCAATGCATGGTCCAGCATATTTTTGACTAAGAGAGGGTTAAGTATATTGACTATGAGGTGTTTATTAAAGACTCATTTAAGAGAAGTAATTTTTACTTTTTTTAAAATAAATTTCTTTCAGTCAAAAAGATTTTTCTGTTTTTTTAGGTTGAACTAACTGCATATCGAGTCTGATTTTTGTTAGCTAATTTGTTGGTTCATATATTTTCTTTTAGCTTAGTAACAAATCAAAGTTAAAAATATTAATTTTAAATAACTATAGAATTATTTCATATTTAAAAAAAAAATAGAATAAAGTACACTTTCTCCTTTTGATAGATTCTTAAGTTACACTATCTTGTTTTAAAAATTACACTTTTTTTGGTAATAGATTCTACACTTTAGTTTATTTTTATGTAAACAAATTATTACGGTCTATTGTTTTTTTTTAATGATTCTAACATGATTAATTTACAAATAGATTTTAATTTATAAAAAGGACTTTGAAACCTCAAAACAAAATGAAGATTTTGAGTGAAATTTCAAAAGTAATGAAATGAATACATCCAAAACATTATTTTATCGCCTAAATTCTGATCATGGATAATACGTGTTTAAAATTGTGAATAATTAACCTTTGAAGTTGAAGAAAACTACTCTTAGGAGGTTTATTTGTATGGCTGGTCACTACTAATTAACTCATTTTAAGAATGATAATAACTTAAGCATATTTCAAGAGAGGGAACATTTTACTTAAAATAATTGAACATTGTTTTGAAATAGTATTTGGATAAAGTTGAAGGGATAAAATTAATAATTTTTAATAAAATGGTGTGTACTTCTAAGTTTATGAGTTAACTTTTATTGGGGGTCAAATTAATTAGATAAAAATAAGTTGAGCTAAAATAGTATACATATCTGGCCAGTATCACTACAAAATTTTGTTTTCCAAGTATTATCCAGTGTCCTAAATTTAAATTCAGTTATTATTGTAATGTTTATAAGAAAAAAAAATATTATCTATAATTCTATTTTATTGCTTCAATTAACACAATAGGTTAAGTTATTGGTCACACTACAAACTTTCAATTTTGTACTTGATGTGGGCAACATTTAAATGAGGGCTAACTATATATAAACCTTTTTATTTGCCAATAACAGGTGATGATGGATTCTGTGACACTCTGATGGCAGTAAATTCTGCTGTTTTGCAGGGAAAACTGAGGATATATGCTCTTTTTTTATTATGTAAATTTCTCTTCTATAGAATGTTTATATGCATACATAGGGGACCTAGTTTCAATTTCATGCACAAGATTAGAGACATTGATTGATGTTGCGGGACTTTATATTCAGTGCTTAAGTAAAGTTTTATTTCATCAAAATAATCATAATTCATAGTCTCGTGAATAAAAAAAATAGAGAAGAATTCATTCATCAAAGATAAATTTTATAATAAAAAATGAGTTAATCACATATACATTATCAGTGTAAAGTTTTTTATACTGACAATCAATTAAATTTGTTAATAGTGTCTTTTTTATTTTAATTTAATTAAATGAGTAAATGACATGACACTATTAACGTATCTAATTGATTGTTAGTGAAAAAATCTTACACTGTCAGTGTATAGATAATTAACTCATAAAAAATAATAAGAATTTTATATGGAGCTAGAAACAAATGAAAAAAAAAAGGTAAAATGTTTTGAAATGGTTGAAGGGGCAAGAAAATAGATCCTATATGGTCCAGATAGGACAATAATTACCAAAGTCGCTAATATTAATAGCCCATAGCAACGTCGCTAAAAGAAAATGGTGTCATAAATTGATGTGTCATACATATTCAACTACGTGAGGCCTTTAAATATTACTGCATCAATCAACTTTTACATAAAGTGCAATCTTTAGAACCAATTCTGTATATAAAGTAGCAACGTCCAAGTTGTCTTTAATGATTATGGATCAGTCTCATGCATTGCCCTCTTTTGTTATTTCTTCTTATAAATTCAATGATTTTAAAATTAACAAATAATTTTCTGAATTATTTCCAAATTTGAAAAGATATTATGTGATGCTAGCAGGGAAACCGTCTTTATATTTATTTTTTGAGAGTTTTAAAAAATATTGTGATAAAAAATATTAAGAATTGAAAATGGATAATAATATAGATAAGTGAGGATATTTTTTTTAATACAGAAAGTTAATAGTTTAAAAAATCTTAGTGGGGTATGAATTTCAAAAAAGTCAAAATAAAGTTATATTATTAAAAAGAAAATAGTTCTCAAATCTTTCATAAGGATAGAGGTGTCACATTTGTTCAAAGCGAGAAATAAACTTGAAGAAATACCAAATGAAATCGACGGCTAACAAAGATTCTTACAATTCAAAAAGAACTAATATGAGTCACAACATAGGAAGTAAACTCACATAAACATAAATCCTAATTCAAGAACCTCGATATTACGTTCTATTAGATCAGCCTAAGCCTCTTTTCCTCCTCAAAAGTACGACGACCTTCAAGTAGTTTGTCCCATTCCGTAGACACCCATTTGAAGTCAGCCTTGCTTTTGCTCAGACTCTCCTCAAGGGAAGAAATCTTCTTTCCCTGTACCTTAGTCTCCCTCACTAACCCACGAACCTTGTCTTCGTTGATTAAAGCCAGAGCAGAAAGGCGATTGGTCAAGGATTCAACTCCCTTGGCAATGGAAAAGGCACTCATCTTTTCCAAATCTTCCTTGTCGCCGGCGAGCAGATCAGTCTCGCGGAGGTGGGAAGAATGATTGAATTTCTCATCCCAGAAAGATAAGCCTTTACCAGGATCGGTGCCACGATCCATAGGGTCCCAGTTCTCCCTGAGGCACATACTTAAAGTCCTTTCAGCGGATTGCACTTCCGCATTGCCTTTATCTCCCTCGGTAGCTATGACCGTCTCTAATTTCACCACTGAGATGTGCCTGTCGGATTCTCGGCGACGTTTATGGGACGTCCCGGCAAAATCAATATATGTATAAAATATTTTTTGTTTTTTTTTGTTGATAAAATAGGAGGTTAAAAGTTCAAATTAAAAAAAAAAAAAAAGTTAGAACAGAATTTTCTGCAAGCATTAGAAAATGAATCAGAATCATACATATGAATCCCTTCAAACATTTGAATACCATTTTTGCAAAATCATTAGCCACTTGGTTAGCTTACTTGAATATATGAACACAATCAATACGATGATTATCTCATGCCACATTGACTACGTGACTCACTAGAGCTTAACAAGGATTTTCCTTACTACGTGATTGCCAAAGTTGAATTTAACTCCACCATTGCCAAAGTTGAATCTAACTCCACCATCACACTCCCAATGATAATTTTATCTCTCAAGATCTTCAAACCATGATAATGGCTCATAGTTATGCTTGGAGCACTAAACAAAAGCCCAAGTTGTAAGAAAAAGCAATAACAAAATTACCAATGTGATCATGGACAATACCTCCACATGAAGAAATAAAATCAGCTGATACAACTCCACCAATATTAAGTTTATAACATCCTTCAAGAAGTCTAACCTATATGATATTAGAGAGCAAGGGACAAGTGGGCTATTCGGATACAAAACCAAGCAAATAGGTCGACTAATTTGTGGAAATTCTTTTATATTAAATTATTCAAATTATGAACATGTTTAAATAAACATCTTTAAAAGCATTTATAGAAGAAAAGAATAAAACAAAAAATAAAATAAATTTATTTATAATTAAAATTAATTTATACATAAAATAATTTTCAAAACTTAAATGTAACTTACAGGGCCGTATCTAGGAATTTCGAGGCCTTAGGCAAAAATTAAAATAGGGGCCTATGTTAATATAACTTAATAATTTTTATGTTATTTTTTTGGCTTTTTGAGCTGCAAAAGTATTTATTAAAAATTTACAATCAAGTAATCCTAACATCTCACTCTCAATAGATAATATAGCTAATTCATTCAATCTATCATGTAGAGCATAGTTAATCTTAAATATGATTTAATCAATTTTAATTTTGAAAAACTTCTTTTAGCAGTCGCAACAGTTACGGGTAATGTTAATAATATTCTATAAGCAATGTATGTATTTGGAAAAGAACTTGATCTTTTTAGATAAGTGAGGATATTTTTTTTAATACAGAAAGTTAATAGTTTAAAAAATCTTAGTGGGGTATGAATTTCAAAAAAGTCAAAATAAAGTTATATTATTAAAAAGAAAATAGTTCTCAAATCTTTCCTAAGGATAGAGGTGTCACATTTGTTCAAAGCGAGAAATAAACTTAAAGAAATACCAAATGAAATCAACGGCTAACAAAGATTCTTACAATTCAAAAAGAACTAATATGAGTCACAACATAGGAAGTAAACTCACATAAACATAAATCCTAATTCAAGAACCTCGATATTAGGTTCTATTAGATCTTGACCCATAAATACATCACAAGACCCATGTCTCGTCATTGTGACAGCATCTAGCTGATTATCACTTGCAAAACATATAGAAAACACAACAAAAACAATAAGAGAGTGAGAAATGTTTTACTCTAGCCACCAACGTGAGATAGAGTTGAATAACCATACACAAACAACAACATAGGCATAAGTGTACATATAATAGTTTAATACAATATTCATCACAATTATAATTAAAGAAGCAATACAAAGAACACCAACATGTCTACAATACTCATGATTCACACAAATGCAATGGACACGAACTTATCTAGTTTTACATACATGTGGAGCTAGTAAATCTCATGTACTTGTGGCTAGAAGGCTAATAATATTCATGACCCAAAGGTGAATACTCATGGTCCAAAGGCAAATTCTCATGACCCAAAGGCAATTACTCATGGATCAAAGGACATTACTCATGACCTGAAGGAGAATACTCATGCACACGATGCATGTCTCACATACAAGACTCTATGTTGCACTTTATCTTAAGGACTCCATACTTATATAATTCACTTAATTAACACATCATCCTCGTGTCAATGTCTTGCATATATATCATCATCGTTTCATTCTCATATCATCATCGTTTCATTCTCATATCATACATTATCATCTCCTATCACATATAAATTTCTTATAACATGTAGACACATTTCATATCATGCACATCATATTGAAGCATCTCATCCCTCATAGGCACAAAATCTCAAGTACAATGTCTTACAAACATAATTTCATACATTCGTCATAATCCACTCATAACTTATACCAAACGGACACTTTAAGCAACCGACAATTGGATGGAAAATTTAAACATGACCATCCTAGCTAATCAATCAGCATCAAGATGATTGAAACATTCAAAAGATACCTTCTCACATGCCATCCTCAATGACCTACTTATGCAATTGAGGTATGCATAAATTGGGACCATCACATGCTGAAACACCTGTCGAGGCCCTTCAAAACCCCTAATAATCGAATGCACTTTAGGTTGAACCATTCGACACACTTGAATACCAAGTGACCTTTCAACTTATGTAATAGCTCCCAATATCCTTAACAATCAAACGCACTTTAAGTTAAGCTATTCGGCACACTTGAATACCTAACACCTCTTTAGGTAGTCGAAGATGCAGAATGACTTTTCTACTTAAGCAACGATGAAGGAGCGAATAATTAGGTTTAATAATGATAAAGCATAGGTTAGAAATCATATCACCTAATTGCTAATCCTGAACAAAAGTCCATCTAGCTAGGGCCCATCACAGTTAGTATAAGTAGTAATGCATATCAAGATAAAAAATATTGTTCATTGAATACTTGAAGTTATTATATTTAGTGCCTAACTTGGGCGTCATAGTACCTTTTGTAAGTACATCCTCCTTGGCATACGTGAATTACTAGTTTGAAGAGCGAAAGTAGCAAGAATATTGAAGAATGAAGATTACAAGTGTCCTTAAACAAGTACATAACTATTTCACAAATATTCCCTCTCATACTTTCTCTTTTTTAACTATTGGTATAAGTATATATCACAAACAATTGTCAAGATTGAACACTTAAAGGATAAAATAATTCATCATTACAACTTATAAGTTGTCTCTTTTTATCTTAAGTTTCTACAACATTGGGGGCTCTATACACTTTTTTCTCATTCTCTCATGGGCTCTATACACTTTTTTCTCATTCTCTCATGATCTTAATTGTAAAATTTATTATACAAATAACATTTTTTTCTTAGAATTTCATATGTTGGGATACCAAATATGAACTTATTTGTATTTAATGTGCAAAATTATTGCTATTTTTCTTTGGTGAATATTCAATCTCACGAACTCACTTGGAACGTCTTATACCATCCTAGGAACAAATATTAATTAATATAAAGGTTAAACATAAAATAAATAAATAAATAAAAGGAAAATTGACAATTAGTAATGTTAT